GAAACTCAATGGTTTGTCCTCCTAACGATTTTGATAGTTTTAGATTGCAATGTCAATTAATTTATAGTTTTTTATGTATTACGGCAAATACCGATTATAATTTTCATGTATCATGACAACGTGTGAGTAATTTATGTTTCCAAATGAATACATGTACAATTACTTTTTCTTTTATATAAATCCCAAAGATCACTGTTCCAATTACCCTTTAGAATACCTAGGGGCCTAGGGTTGCAAACGAGTCGAGTCAATAAACGAGTCGAGTCAATGCGCAAATCGAGCTCAAGAAATTCAATCGAGCAAACAGGTCGAGCCTCGAACATCATTTCAAGAGGTTCGTAAGCTCAACGAGCTGCTCGACTTTTTGTTTACATAAACTCCATAAGTCTAATTATCAATCTTAGAACACGAATATCAAATTGTTTATTTAAATAAAATAATACTCTATATTTAAAATTTAGTTGTAAAAAATTCAAGCAATAGTTAATGTTGGCCTTACCTAAATTAAATATAGAATTTTTATAATGATTTATGAAATGTAACCTATAGGGTGCCATTAGATAATAAATTATTTTTGAAAATAAATTATCCCAGCATAAAAACTAATGAAGAAAGTGGATTTTTTTTTTCTGTTTTTTTGGAATGAATGAATTATTTGAGACTATGGATGGACATGAAATAAAATGTGATTATATAAGTTGAAATGAAATAAAAATAATAAAATGATGATTGTAAATAGTTGATAATTAATATATGCGAACAGATAATAGTCGATTTTTGAGATTATGTAATGATAATTGATTTATTTTGTTTTAATTGTGTTGATAGGATTGAGAAGAGAAATGTAAGAATACATGAAATGTTTAAGTGAAAAAAACTATTATCTCGCGAAACAAAAGTGAATAAAAATATTATATTCAGTCACATTTATTTCATAACTTCATGCAGAAATTATTCCAGGCTGAGGAGCCAAAAAGAACACCTTAAGAGGCAGGCAAATTTGGTATCATACAAATCTGGAAATGGCTGTGAATGACTAAACACAAGCAAACATGCCTCGACAAAGTTACTAATTTGCTTCATCCTGCCAAATTTGATTGCTCTTCATAGTCACCTATCCAAAGTTTATTCCTTGGGCAAGAGGCAATTCACTTCCATAATTGATTGTGCTGCATAAATATAACAAAACATGCGGAAATAAGAAACGAAATTAAAACAACAAATTTGAAGAACCGAAATGTTTTTAACTTATCAAGCTTATCACGAAAAAAAAAAAACTAGCCGTGAGGTTCAGCCTAATTAATTGAAGGAAAACGAACATTATTCAAACAAAGTTCATTTACCAAGTTGAACGCCTCATATATTGTTTCCAAGAATCACTTCCAGCTTCACGGCCGCCTCCAGTAGCTTTCTCACCACCAAAAGCGCCACCAATTTCAGCACCATTTGTTGGGATATTGACATTTACAATGCCACAATCACTTCCTTGTGGCCTGCGACAAATTTACGAATGTCAAACGCAGCAATGACTTAAAAGGGGGAAAGAAGACGCTTCGAACAAATGACATATTGAATGTTGCTTCTGTTTTTAACAGATTTGTCTGTTTGCATGTACAAACTTAACAAATTGCAATAACATTTTGAGCTAAAAAGGACCTGTTGTAGTTAGACTAATTGCAAAAAACTCTCATTTATATGGGCATCGAGCACCTTCGACATTTATTTGGAATTTAAGACAAGATAAAAATCAGAGTGTTATATCATTTTAAAAGTTAGATGTTTCTTTTCGTATATTTCCATTTTTGGGTAATCTAATCAAACCTCAAAAGAGTTCCTTTTGTAGTGGTCCCGTACAAAATAAATCATGCGGAGAGCTCAATATATGAAGTACTATGGTGTCTGGCAGAGATATTCTTGACAAATGAAAATAGTTATAGCATATGTTTTGAATAAACTTTGATTGCTCACCCAATCCATTTGAATATAATTTCAGGTCTGCGGGTGAAGATGGAGCTACTGAGACCTTGGGGCACAGAATTGTTTATTTCAATAGCTTCTTTCAGTGTCTGCAATAATAATGTGTTTATATTGTGGCTCTTGAAATCAATTAGCACCTAAACTGAAAAGCTTCAGACAAATGTGAAATGCAAAAGTAGTGAATTTTTCACCTGAAACTTCATTACATAGAGAACAGGTCCAAACAACTCTTCCTTCACAACCTCAGCAGAAGAAGAAATCTCGACTATGGTGGGTTGCACAAAATTACCTTGGGACTCAATAACACTACCACCTGCTACAATTTTTCCTCCCTACACCAAATTAAATCGATTTAAACAGAGCCTTTTTTTTCTTTTACTGGAAAATAAAAGGATTTTGAAAATATTAACAATGCTCTTATCAGGGATCTTAAAAGAACTAAAGAAAGCAGGCATATCATCTTGGAATGACAAGTTACTTGCATAATTTGGATCATGAGATCATCATTATGTCCAAATACATATGCCTTTACCTCAAAGAAGAGATTTGTTCTAACTTTAAATGAAATGTGAGTTAGTGTGTGTGTGTGTGTGTGTGTGTGTGTCTGATTGTCGAGTGCAAAAACCTGAGATTTGATTTTCTCTATTCCCTTGACAAAATTTTCCCTCGAAGCACGAGTATGCAGTGGCCCAAGCAAGGTACCCTTTTCCAATGGATTTCCAGCCTTCACTTGCTTGTACACATCGACTAGCCGGTCAAGCACTTTTTGATAAATGGTCTCATGAAGAAGCTTCATTTTCAAAGAGGGAGCAAAAAAAATAGAAGTCACAAGTTTTTAATAGCTCATCCACAAAGCAAAGTTTATATGTACACATATATACATATATGTATGCATATTTTTATATATATATTATACCAGCCTACGGCACGTGGTGCACCGCTGACCAGCAGTACCAACAGCAGCAAATAAAACCGAACGGACGGCAAGTTCAATATCAGCATCATCCATGACTATTATAGCATTGTTCCCACTAAGCTCAAGAAGGCACTTGCCAAATCTTTGATTTACCGTTTGTTGGACCATAAGTCCCACCTGCAAAACCAGCAATTGACAAATGATATGGTAAAAAAGGATGATGATGCAACCATTAAAAGCAGGACAGGCAATCACAAATATGTTAATTGAATATTGTGACACAGGAAGCTGTTTATATCTTTAAACTGATCAATGTATAAAAAGTAACATAATTAATTACATTATTAATTAGTTTAGTGAAGTATGTCATTTATCTACTATCAGTTAATATTAGATGAACAAGTTAGATTTTAGCAATCAATTATTAACTTGTTTCCTTAAAGGTTTAAACAAGCCAATGCATAAAAGTAAATAAAATCATTTGGATTATTGAGTATCACGATGTCAAAGATTATGTTATCTAGCATAATACCTCCAACACGAACAAGTAGAATTTGCCCCAAAGAAATGTCAAATATTTTGTTATCGAAAATATCATCTAGCATCACATATAAAGCATCTATGATTTTCTTCATGAGCAATATGTTCTAGCTATAATCTGAGTACGAACATGAAAATGGCAGTAAACAGTGGTACCTTTGAGCTCCCAGTGAAGGAAACTAAAGGAATGCGAGGATCTTTAGCTATAGCTTGACCAATTTCAGCACCCCCACAAAATGATGTGAAAATTGCACCTGGTAAATTGTTTCTTTCCAATACTCCCGCAATAATCTTTGTCATAGCTATAGTAATCAGAGGTGTGGTTGGAGCACCCTTCCTGAATTAAAAATAACAATAATAATAATAATAATAGTATTAATATAACAACAATTATAATAATAATATTACACCCTTCAACACACACAAAATAATAAGACTTCAAAATCCACCTTGTGACTTAAAGAGAGCAGAAAAAAGAAAAAAGCTAAGATGAGGTCACATTCAGATCATGCAATAAATATCAGAAAAATAAAACAGTGATTATACAAATTATCTTAGCCTGTCATTGCTCTTCTTTGAATATCTCTTTTGAAAGGCCCAGTTTCAAGAGAGATCACTAAATAAGCCTTAACATGGTACAAGAAAAGCAATAATTGAACAGAAATAGGACTTTTAAAGAGTATCCTAGTGTTTGCATAGACAATTTATTATGTAGAAAGTGGAGAGCAATGGACCCACCAGACTACAGAATTTCCACAAACTAGAGCGATGCATGCATTCCATCCTACAATCAAGTACCAGAAATAAAAAATTTAAACATTTTCACATATAAAAATACCAGGGGTAAAAGATGTAAAGTGACCAAATACAGAAGTGCTCACCTAGTACAGCACAAGGAAAATTGAACGCCGTAATTACACCAACTATCCCTAAGGGATTCCACGTCTGTTTATCATAGGAAAATATTACAATAGGTGGTATGCACTACAATAGAAAGAAATTTATAATCCCAGAAGTAAGAGGAACATAGAATACCTCCAACATCATGTGGTTTGGTCCTATCAACACATCACAATCAATAAAGAAAACACGTTAGGTTTGAGGTAGTGCGTTGAAATATGTGGCCATTCACGTAAAACAGTGCAATATAAAAAACACCCAACAATAAATGATTTAGAGAGCTCCTGGTGTGAAAATAGGATAAAGTGCGTGGAACGGTAAAAGGGTTTTTATTTTGAATATGCTTACGTTCAGAAGGTATAACTGATCCATTAAGCTGACGACTTAATCCCACAGCAAAATCACACATATCAATTATTTCCTGCAATATCATCATTTTTGAGATAAGAGGCGTAATTAAGAAAAATATTGAAATTTATGCAAGTTCACAGAAAAGAGAGGGAAACAATTTTATGGAATTCTGATTGATCATAGATAACATTTTGTTTTATAATTCATATAGTTTCATATAAATATAAAAATATCAAGCTTCACTGATAACACGTGATTTTAAAATTCTCATACTAAGATAATTGCATTTATATGTCTTTCAAAGTCTACCTTTAATGCTGAGAAGATCTCAAAAGAAACCACAATGTAGAAGATGAAGCGGAAAAGAGAGCACAAATTGCTAGGTTATGCTCATATAAACTGTAAACAATGCGCCTAATTAATGATTATCATATATAAGACGGCGAGCAAACATATTTCTTTACCAATAAACGGTTTGAACAGTCAACATACCGTAACGTATTGCCTTCAATGATGATAACATGTTTGGAAACATAAAGAGTGTTGTTCTTTTGTACAAACTATACACTTTTCTATAACGACGAAATTGACATTTCTGATAGCATCACAAAATTTGGAATGAGATATCTTTTGACCAACAATGTACATATCGGAGCGCGTTATATCAGCCAAGTACATTTTGAACAATATGCTTTACCACCCAAAGACAACTAAGTTTTCTTTTCTTTTCTCATTCTTTGTTTTTTCCTTTCTGCTTAGTCAAGGATAGAAACAAAATTTATTTGGCATGGCAGATGAGATAAAAGAAATGTAATAAACCTAACTGGTATTCAAGAAAAGTGGCAATGAATTATAGCTGGAAAATTCTTCAATGCAATTAATTGCATAAACGTCATCTTGAAATTCTCATACTTCATTCATGTTGAGAGAGCACTATATAGTCAGCTTTATCAGATTTTCATAACAAATTTGGCAGAAATCAGCGATTATTAATCAAAATTAATGAAACGCAATTTGTCCAGATTCCATCTAAGAAACTTACGTGCAAGAAAAAGCCAAATTCAATGCAGTCTATTTCTTACCGAAAATTTTCCATTCATATACCAACAGAAAAAGAACCCCGGTAGGAGGTATTGATTATCACATAAAGAATATAAATTCATTACTATATTTTATGACCAAATACCATAAAGTACCTGAACCTCCCCTATTCCTTCAGCAAGTATTTTCCCCATTTCTAGAGAAACGAGCCGACCAAGATGATGGAGTTTGACTCGGAGTGCATCGCCAATCTGCCTCACAATTTCACCTCTCTTTGGTGCTGGAATCTGTCATGAAAGGGAACATCATATATCATTACGCAACGAGCACCATTAAACATTAAATTAGTAAAATTCAAATTAAAGTTTTACGCATAATAATTGTGTTAGTCAAATAACGACAAATCACCTGCATCCATATCTTGGTGGCTTGATCACATGCTTGCATGCCCTCTTCATAGTCTTCAAGGGAAGCTTCTGAAACTTCAGCAATTGGCTAAACCAGGAATGGACAAACAATGTAATCAGGAAACTGTAAACTTATGACCCAACATTTGCATTCACTTCAATCATCACGTATCACTACAAGCAGGACCGATTTCCAGTCAATTAAAGGAATTACTCATCTTGCACAACCAATAGTTTACCAAATTTTCATATTCCTCTATCAAGATTATACAAACTAAAATGCCAATTACCCAGACATNAAAAAAAACAACAACAACAACAACTACAACTTAAGCTCAAAATAAACCTGATTATCAGCTGGATTCACTGAAGTTACCACCGGCCCATTCCCTTGCCACACCCCATTAACATAGCAACCTAAATTCCTGGGCCCGAGCCCGATCTCCTTCAGAAACTCGTACTCTTTTCTCCCGAAACTCATCTCTGCCAAGAAGAAAAAAAAATAACACACAAAATCACATACTTCAGTCCCAACCCCAATTTCCCAGTTCCAAACACCCTCGCATCAAAATCAACAAAATCTGAAGAAAAAAAAAACTTGAGCCTTTGGCATTTACGACGGCTGCAGCGAGTTGTACCATTAGCAGGAGAAGAAGTACTTATTTCAGACATTATCTAGAGAAAAAAAAACTTCCGACTTGCAGAAATTGATGGCGACTTACTGCAAGACCTTCGGCTGTTGGAATCAACGAGTATAAATGGTGAAGACAAGAGCCAAGAAAGAGGCGTGTTTGCTGAGAACTCTTGTGTGGGCTATCAAAACATGCTTTTCTATTTTAGCTCATAGATTTGTCCTATTGCACCCTATCAGAAAAAGAAAAATGATAGAGGTGGTACCGTGGTGGTTGCAGGTTGAGTGTACATTTTCGTAGTTGCATCTTGCAAGTAGGCCCCCTAAAAAATAGAGAAATAGAGTTGTTGACTTTAAACCGAAATCAATCAACCAAATTTGAACTCGTTTACTTAATGAGTCGGATGTAATGAATTGAACCCGACTCTTGGTTCACCTAAATAAAGTTTATTAAATCTCGAAAAAATAAATTTTTATATAATTTTTTATAATTCGACTCGCTAATATTATAAACGAGTCAAACTTGAATTTGGGTTTGGTTAATTAATTAGTCGATCTTTGGGTTCAAGTTGAAGCTTCGTCCGATTCAATTCGACTTGTTTGCACTTGAATTAAAACAAAATAAAAATTTGAGTTGTTAAAATAAATGAGTCGATTGTACAAACCGAGCGAAGTTCGAGCTCGTTAAGTTAACGAAAGAGACTCGACTTAGTTTGGATTAATAATAATTGTTAGAGCTCGAAAAATAATATATATTTTTTTATAATTTTACTCATTAGTATTAAATCATTAATAAATGAACCAAATTCGAGTTTTAGCTCGATTACTTGCTCGTCCAGATAACGAGCCAAGCTTTAAGATTATGGCACCAGCTCAGCTTGATTAATCGGACTATTATTAGTTAAATTAAAAATGGAGGCCCAATAATACAGTATATTGCATTATGGTGTCTAAAGTATGACGTGGATAAATTGATGGGTTTTATCCGGATGATTTACGACTGTCTTTTCAGTTTTCACGATTGAATAATGCGCTCGTGTGGGGTACACTTCAAATTAATTAGAGATATAATTACTCAACCAATTAATGGGTCCTGCTCGAATATTTGAACTTCATTATGGGTAACCAGTTGAGTAAAATGGACCGGGCTAATCAACTACTCTTTGGTTGACCTTTTTTTTATCGGATTTACCTACTTAAGCCCAACATCTGGGTCATTAATTAGCGAGTCAATAGGTTCATGAATTTCGAAAAAGGGCCTCGCTAAATTTAGAGGAAATTACACCATTCACTATATCTTAACATTTTTATTACATAATTATAACTCATATATATTTATTTGCAAATTAACTAAAACTATCATATTTATTTACAAACATACTAGATTATTGAAATATGGTAAAAGCAGATTTATTGGGATCTATAATTATCACACGCGTTCTCTCTCTTCCTCTTTCTATTCATCTTATTCTTCTCTCTCCCTCTCATCTCCTTCTCCTACGATTTGCCCCAAATTTCAGAACCATTCTTCTTCCTCATCGATCGATTTCGCTCAAAATCTCATAAAACTCTTCGCATAATTAATTGATCAATCATCATCAGAATTTTAGAGAAAATATTTTCTCAACCCTCTTTGTGAATCCACCATAGCCGCGCGACGTCTTCATCAGATTCTTGTCCGATCAACCATGGGCATAGCAGTGAAACCGCGAGTTCCGACCGCTGTGCAGCAAGGGAGAACCAGGGGTCCCGAACAACAGCAACTCCTTCTCCCTCGGGTGACGTTCGATCAAGTCTGAAGCCAAGAGACGAGCCGTCACCGACGAGCCTCCACCGCAGGGATTTTCGAGAAAGGCAGACATAAATCACTGCACCCATCTCGGGAATTTTGAAAAGCCGAGTTTATAAAATGTTCAGGAATCAATACGACACCAACGAGACGACGTGGTTGCCGGCGGGGCGGCTGTTCCAAGTGGAGTACGCGATGGAGGTTGTGAAGACGATGGAAAAAAAACTGGGAAATTGGAGATTGTGGGTGGGGGGCCATGAATTAATCGGGTATATGTTATGTATATTTAAGGTATACGTTCTGTATAATATAAGGGCTACCTTATATGTATGTATATATGGTTTATATTGACAAAACATAAACTGATGATTTTTTATTTTTTTTTTTTATATGTATGATTTATACTCGGTATATTTTCAGTATATGATAAAGAAATTTATCGCGAGACCTAATTTTTATGTATAAAATTTATTTTAAAATAGCATAAACTGAATTTTTTTGTTGGTGTTGTGTATATGTATGATTTTATATTAAGTAATATGTTATAATATGTTTTTAAACTATATATATACTTTTATGTATAAAAGAAAAAAGAGGAAGATACAATTTTTGATGGAAGACATTTTTTTCATTGCAACATATACTGAATATATACTAACATAAACACAATATATACCAGCCGCGTGAATTAAGGAATTCCAGTTGCACACATATACGGAATATATACTAACATAAACTCAATATATACCACCCGAGAGCTACATGAATTAAGGAATTTTAGTTGCGCACATATACTGAATATATACTAACATATACTCAATATATACCACCTGATAGCTACGTGAATTAAAGAATTCCAGTTGCGGGAATTAAGGAATTAAATGAGTAAATCACGCCACCAAAGGATAAGTGATATGGATAGAGGACGTTACAAAAGGTAACTGATATTTAGGCAATCAGGTAACTAAAATAGCTTGATTAGGTATATATCCTATTAATTGATCTAGGAAGGTAAAAGTGAAAATTCTTTTATTTCATATAGTATGTGTGAAAATTTCCCCTAAATTTAACTTACTCATTTTAACTAATCATTTATTTAATTTAATTTACTTCAACTTTAATTCAAATAGTATGTACCCCGTGCGATACACGGGATAAAAGTATTAAATGAATTATTTTCACATGCTCTGTCCGTTTACGTCTAAAAAGCAATATAATTAAATCTCAAAAGCAATAGGGTTTTTATCTATTTTCCCACACTTTAAATCAACTTTAAGTGTAAAAATAATAAAATTATAATATATTTTCTACCTCCTTTAATCAACATTATTTTTTTAGCCAAAACGTTAAATATGAGCATGGTAGGGCTAGCTTGTAAAATAATTAATATATTATCTCACTAACACATCTATACTAATATAAATTTAATTTTAGTATATATATTTATTCCTTGATATAAGAGAAAATAACAGCTTTACTTATTCTTGTTCACCATATAAAAGTGAATATTTATGAAAAAAAATTAATATTACGGTTAGAACTTAAAATATGTTGTAATATTTAACTTGATCAAAATATTATCAACATGAATTACGAAAAATCAAGCTTGTAATTTGTTATAATGAATATCAATAAAATTATTGCAGATATTAATAAAATTATTTAAGAAAACAAAATTTTTGATTATATCTGATTCGATCTTATTTGAAAACGTGTATATAGAAGCAATTAATGCATATATTTAAAAAGTTTCCAAAAAAATGTATGCATTCAATGCTCCCAAAATTTTTTACTACTATTTTTAGTAAATGGTTATTCTTATTATATATATATATATATATATATATAATAAGAATAACCATTTACTAAAAATAGTAGTAAAAAATTTTGGGAGCATTGAATGCATACATTTTTTTGGAAACTTTTTAAATATATGCATTAATTGCTTCTATATACACGTTTTCAAATAAGATCGAATCAGATATAATCAAAAATTTTGTTTTCTTAAATAATTTTATTAATATCTGCAATAATTTTATTGATATTCATTATAACAAATTACAAGCTTGATTTTTCGTAATTCATGTTGATAATATTTTGATCAAGTTAAATATTACAACATATTTTAAGTTCTAACCGTAATATTAATTTTTTTTCATAAATATTCACTTTTATATGGTGAACAAGAATAAGTAAAGCTGTTATTTTCTCTTATATCAAGGAATAAATATATATACTAAAATTAAATTTATATTAGTATAGATGTGTTAGTGAGATAATATATTAATTATNAAAAAAAAAAATCAAAACAAAATAAAAAAAAAATTATTTCCAAGCATCCCAGAAGAATTGTATGAACTCGAAAATATATACTTTTTAGCTTGACAAAAGCTCAAATTTATTATTTTCTCGACCAAGCCAAGCGTCGACACATAAAAGATCATCTCTTCTATAGGCTTTACAAAAGCTCTAGTTGAGTTTCAAGTTTCAACTGAATGTTGACATGAAAAAGCTCGACTTTTCTCGGTATGAATCGTTTTTCAAGTGTAGTTATCATATTTCAATATACTTCAAGCATTTTTACATTATAGTAAACTGCATTTGCCTGTTTGTTGTGATCATAATTAGAGGTGTTAATCAAAATAACTCGTTTCGACTTAATTCGAGAAGGTTCGAGCTCATATAAACCTTGTTAGTTAACGAGCCATAGGCTTGGGCCCAGTTCGGTTCCTAGCATATTTTTTTAGGAACCGGAACCTAAACAAAATAATGGTTTCGGTTACAAAAAAATAAATAAATAATAATAATAATAATAATAATAAATCATAAGAATCGAACAATTTTAAAAGTTCAATTAACTCGATTATTTTGGTAACTGAATTATAAGAAATAATCGATTTTAAATTAATATCCAGTCTCAAACTTACAACTCACGTATTAAAAATATATATTAAAAAAAACAAGGACCGAAATACAAAAATTGAAGAATGGAACTACAAATACCAAGAACCTTTGTATATAAAAATATAAAACATGCATATTGCACATATATAGTCAGTATCTCTGTTAATACACATTAATTAGGAAAGGAACAGGGTATCGGAACTGATTTGTGCAAAAAATAACCTAACCAGAAGAAGTATATTTTTTTAATAATCGAATCGGTTATTTTCGACTCGGTCCAACTCGGTTCCATATTTTATAGTTTGGTTAGTGAAGACTTTCATATGAAATGAGTATGGCTCGTTGAGTTGAGCGCTCCAGCACGGCTCGCTGGTTTACACCCCTATTCATCTTGCTTCCGCATTTGAGAAAAAAAGACCTGCTTTCCCAGAACTTCTGGGAAGGATCGCAATCACACGTTTACGCAAATTCCTAACCCAAACGCCCAATTGATCGTCATCCAAATAACCATTTTTGGGTCTCGTTGTTTTCGATTAATTCGCCACTTATATCATTCCACAAGTCTTCGTAATCTGCAGGTTAGTTAAAAAAAATACGATCTCTTTTTTTTTTTTCTCCTCGTTGGGTTCGATTTTTTCTGAGCCGGGGTTTCTTGGCCGCTCGCAAAATCGAATCCCTTGTGTTTATTCCTTTTCAAGTTCTTCGCCTGTGTTGCTGATAGAATAGGTATGGTATTATACGGTAAGCTTTAAGGGGGGAAAATGAGGCAATTAAAATCTTACCGTGGCAAAAGAAGCCCTCGACTTAGAGGGATTTTTAATGGGTTGTTTGCCCTGGTGCTGGTTATCCTGTTCTACAATCATGGGTATTTTGCGTCGAATCCAGTTTTAGGGATTCCATCATCCTCGTCAAGCCCTAATTCCAACTCAAAAGGGGCATTTTCTAGATTCCGTAGGGGGATGGCTGAATTAAGCCCAAATTCCGCCACCCACGCGAATGGGACTGATCTTACCTACATCAATGTCGAAAATTCCGAATTTTGCTCCGGAATTCTCGATCACATCGGGTTCAACAGCAGCTGCGAGTTCTTGAAAGCCCACCCGGAATGCAAATCGAGCGGGTTCCTCAATTACCTGAATTTCTACTACTGCGATTGCAGTGGGAACGCTTGGGCTTTTCTGGTATTGGGCCTCTGGCTAGCCGCATTGTTCTATCTTCTGGGCAACACTGCAGCCGATTATTTCTGTTGTTCGTTAGAAAAGCTCTCTGGCCTGCTAAAGCTATCCCCCACTGTAGCTGGGGTCGCTTTGCTTCCTCTCGGAAATGGTGCTCCAGATGTTTTCGCGAGTATTGCGGCTTTTGTCGGGAGTGGAGCTGGTGAAGTCGGGCTTAATAGCGTCCTAGGAGGAGCTGTTTTCGTTACATGCATTGTTGTGGGGGCTGTTTCACTATGTGTGGCCGATCAAGATGTTCAGATCGATAAAAAGTGCTTTATAAGGGACATAATGTTCTTTATCTTCACTCTCACCTCGCTTTTGTCGATCTTGTTCGTCGGTAGAGTTTCTTTCTTGGCCGCCGTTGCTTTCTTCTCGATTTACATCGTGTATGCTTTTACAGTTGCCGCAAACGAGCTTTTGCGCGAACAAGCACAAAGACTTAAGTTAGACGCCGTGACCCCTTTGCTTCCCGTTAGGGGTAGCATATTTTCAGCCGGGGCAAGTCAGGAAGAAGACTCCATGATCAGCTCATTGCTCGAGCTCGACACTCAAAGTGACGGGGCCCAATCTCATTCCTCATTGCCACAATGGATGTGGGCCTCTAATGTCGCAATATATTCGAACCAAGTCCTTAAAATCCCCGACGGCGACAATAATCTATGGGGATGGACGGATGAGGAGACGGTCTCTGCCGAAGGGCGATCTTTTTCTTGCTCGAAAATGTGCGCTTTAATGGAGCTTCCCCTCACAATTCCGAGGCGACTAACGATTCCTTTAGTCGAGGAGGAAAATTGGTCAAAGTTTTACGCAGTGGGGTCTGCTCTATTCGCTCCCGTTTTGCTCGCTTGTCTGTGGAGTTCACGGGAAAGCCGCGCGGTGGGTTTTTCCGTCGGTTTAGTTATCGGTTCGGTACTATCCGTTTTAGCGTACAAGCACACGAAGCACGAGCACCCGCCTCGGAAGTTTCTATTACCTTGGGTCGCGGGAGGTTTCTTGATGAGCATCGTGTGGTTTTACATGATCGCCACCGAGCTAGTCGCTTTGTTGGTGGGTTTGGGCGTGATTTTGGGGGTCAACCCTTCGGTTCTCGGTTTGACCGTTCTCGCTTGGGGTAACTCGATGGGCGATTTGGTCTCGAACGTGGCTTTGTCGGTGAACGGTGGGGATGATGGGGTGCAGATAGCAATGTCGGGTTGCTACGCGGGCCCGATGTTCAACATGCTTATTGGGCTCGGCGTCTCGATGATGCTTAGGGCTTGGGCCGAGGGGCCCGGCCCGTTTGTGGTTCCTAGGGACGCCAGCCTGTACTACACGCTCGGGTTCTTGCTGGCGGGCCTTGTGTGGGCCCTTGTGGTTTTGCCGAGGAATGATATGCGCCCGAATAGGATGCTTGGAGGGGGACTCATAGGGATATATTTGGTGTTTCTATCGTTTAGGCTTGCGTTTGCTATGGGGTTGGTCTCGTTGGCCGGGCTCGGTTAGAAAGGTACGCGTGTGTGAAGATTTTCTTTGATGATATCGACGAGGAGGACACGATTGTTTTATTGTGTGTGTACTTTGATTGATCCATGAGGAGGTATATATGTTTAGATCTTTGTAGTTCCAACTTGTTTTTATTGTTTTCTTGAAGTGTTGTTGGCATGACAATGCAATAAATTCCTGAAGTTGGTGGTGTGTTGTCTGGCTAACTGTTAGCAATTGGTTTTTCTTTAGTGAAATGCATGGGCATTTGCTTACTCCCAAGTAGTACTGTTAAAATAAACTGTTAAAATAAACCAGCTTGGCTCGATAAGGCTCGAAAAGAGGATTTTTATATATTTTACTATTCTTCGGCTCGTTAAAGCTCGAGATTGGCTCGTTAAGGCTCGAGCTTGAGGCCTTAATAAGTCGAACTCGAGCTCGATTTTTGGCTCGTTTATTTACGACTCGACTCGATTACAGGCCTACTCCCAAGTGATTGGTTCGTTTACAATGGGAAAATCACTTTTTTGTGGCTACCCTTTGCAAGATTTGCATGCTGAATGTTTGTGTTGGGAACTTGGATGTTGTTTGATGAAATGAGCAAATGCTTAGCATATTAATTTGGTGTGTGGGGAACTGGAAATTCAATTCCAACAATTAAACAATGTTTTAGCAAGACATACTAGCTATGAAGTGATGAAGAAGTATGTATTAGGTAAATTGCGAAATTCTATAAGTTTGTCTGTAATCACAATAATTATTGGCCTAGTGAAATTGATGAAAATGTGTAAATGATTATTGATTGTTAAACATTGCGAGTGGTGATTTAAAAAATAAAATTACTACAGTATGTAAATTACTTTTGTTTTTAATATAATATATTTCCAATTAAATTTGAATTTGTAAAAATATTCTAGTATATGTATTTGCATTCGCATTCGATTTACTAAATAATCAAATTTGTGATACGTTAAATATTTAAGTATTCGTTTTTGCATCCGATTTACTAAATAACCAAATTTGTGATTCGTATTTTATTTAAGATAATCGAATATATGGAAATCTAATTTTATCTATAAGCAACTAAGCACACAAATACATTTATATATAAATATATCAATATATAAATATACCTAATACATAAATATACTTCTATATATAAATTTATTTGTATATTTATTTGTATGTTTATAAATAATATATTATTATAAAAATTAATAATTTATATTTAATATATATATTTATATTGATTTTAATTTGTTATATAATTATTGTTAACATTTCGAATATTCTATAATTATTGAACGAATATGTATCTATTAATATAATGTGAATCCAAAAAGTCCAATTATATTATACAAAGTAAAACAAGTATGCAGCCACAATTCCATCTAAGTTCAATCGCCACAACACCGACAGTACTTCAAAGATAAAGTTATTATTAAACATAAGCTCTGTCAATTCCATTTTCAAATTTGGATCAACTATCGGCTCATATGCTCCGTCAAAAGTCATACTATTATCTAATCTATTAATTTAATTTTACTTTGTCCTCTTATTTATTATATCCAAAAATTACACTCAAAATATCTTCCAAAAAAGTCTACCCACGAATGAAAACGCGCGACGTGCCCCAATAAGAGCCCACCATCGCAAAACGCTGCCAATATTATTGGACTCTCTTCAGCTAATCGGAAAAACCAATTTCGCCTTAAAAAAATGAAGCTTCCGCCAAACACGGCCTTCTTCTCTCTCTCACTCCTCCTCCTCCTCCTCCACCTCCTCCCCTCCGCCTACACCTCCGGCGATCAGGAGACCTTCATCGTCCACGTGTCCAAATCCCACAAGCCGTCGGCCTTCTCCACCCACCACCACTGGTACACCAGCCTCATCCAATCCCTTCCCGCGCACCGCCGCCCGGCGGAGATCCTCTACACCTACGACCGCGCCGTGCGCGGCTTCTCGGCCCGCCTCTCTGCCGCTCAGGCTGCCACCCTCAGCCGCGCCCCCGGCGTCGTCTCCGTCGTCCCCGACGCGGTCCGCTACCCCCACACCACCCGCACCCCCAACTTTCTAGGCCTCGCGGACACGTTTGGCCTCTGGCCGAACTCCGACTACGCCGATGACGTCATCGTCGGTGTCCTCGACACCGGAATCTGGCCGGAGCTTCCGAGCTTCTCCGACGAAGGCCTCTCCCCAGTCCCTTCTGACTGGAAGGGGAGCTGCGTCGACGCCCCCGATTTTCCCGCGACCCTCTGCAACAGGAAAATCATCGGGGCAAAAGCGTTCTATTTAGGGTACGAAGCTTCGCGAGACAAAACGATGGAGGAATCGAATGAATCTAGATCTCCAAGGGATACGGAAGGCCACGGCTCGCACACATCGTCGACCGCCGCCGGATCTAGAGTGGCGAACGCCAGCTTGTTCGGATACGCAAAAGGAGAAGCCAGAGGCATGGCGACCAAAGCCAGGATCGCTGTGTACAAGATCTGCTGGACCTTCGGGTGCTACGATTCCGATATACTGGCGGCGATGGAGCACGCGATTGACGACGGCGTGAACGTGATTTCTCTCTCAGTCGGCGCTAACGGCTACGCCCCTCAGTACGACTACGATTCTATCGCAATCGGAGCTTTCGGCGCAACTGAGCACGGAATAGTGGTGTCGTGCTCTGCAGGAAATTCCGGACCCGATCCGTACACAGCGGTCAACATCGCGCCATGGATCTTGACCGTCGGGGCCTCAACCCTCGACCGTGAGTTCCCAGCCGACGTAATACTCGGAGACGGACGTACGTTCGGCGGCGTTTCCCTCTACTCCGGCGAACCACTCGGAGACAAACCGCTTCCCTTGGTTTACGCCGCTGACTGTGGGAGCCGTTACTGCTACTCCGGCAGCCTCAATCCGGCAAAAGTCGCCGGAAAAATCGTCATCTGCGACAGAGGTGTCAACGCCAGGGTGGAGAAAGGCAGTGCCGTCCACCTCGCCGGAGGTGCCGGCATGATAATGGCCAACCTGGCGGACAGCGGCGAAGAGCTCTTAGCCGACGCTCACTTTATTCCGGCCACCATGGTTGGCTCGACCGCCGGAGACAAAATACGGGCCTACGCACGCTCGGATCCAAACCCAACCGCCACTATAATTTTCCGTGGGACAGTCATCGGGCCCAGCCCACCAGCCCCACGCGTGGCTTCTTTCTCGAGCCGCGGGCCGAGCTACCGAACCGCCGAAATTCTCAAACCGGACGTAATTGCCCCTGGCGTCAACATTCTAGCCGGCTGGACGGGCTACGTTGGCCCAACCGACTTAGATTCCGACACTCGGAAAGTCGAGTTCAACATAATTTCTGGCACGTCCATGTCGTGCCCCCACGTGAGCGGCTTGGCCGCCCTTCTCCGGAAAGCCCACCCTGAATTTTCTCCGGCCGCCATCAAATCGGCCCTCATGACAACCGCTTACAACATCGACGATAATGGCCGGAACATCACGGACCTTGCCACCGGAACCGAGTCGAACCCGTTCGTTCACGGCTCGGGCCATGTCGACCCGAACAAATCCCTCGACCCGGGTCTAGTGTACGATATCAAGACGATTGATTACGTGGCGTTTTTGTGCACGATCGGTTATAATCCGAGGAGGATATCGGTTTTCACGAGCGCCTCCGTGGATTGCGATGAGTTAGGGTTAAAAACTCCAGGGAATCTTAACTACCCGTCCTTTTCGGTTGTCTTTTCAAGCGGTGTTGGCGTGGTGAAGTACAAGAGGACGGTGAAAAATGTCGGGAAGGAGACGAATAATGTTTATCGGGTGAAGGTGGAGGCTCCGCCGGGAGTGGAGGTGAATGTGCATCCGGTTGAGTTGGTTTTTAGTGAGAAAGTGAGTGAGTTGTCTTACGAGGTTACGTTCAAGAGTAGTGTGAGTTTGAGTGATTTGGGAATGGAAATTGTGGGTGGGATTAGGACTTCGTTCGGGTCCATCGAATGGAGTGATGGCGGTGGTCATCGAGTGAGGAGTCCAGTGGCGGTGGCTTGGCGGTTGGGCTCGGTGGCCGCAATGTGAAGTAAAGTGTTGGAAGAAATGGAAAAAAAGGAGTTCGATTGTTTGTTTACGAGGTAAGGAAGAGAAGGGCTGTTCTTTCAGTAGTTTCATTGTTTGCATAAGCGGTGTTCATCGATGTTCGTGGGAAATAAGCATGTAAATTATTAAGATGCTGTAAAAGGAGATGAAGAAAGCAATGTACATATTGTTAGTTGTTACCTCTTTTAGTGCAATGCTGTTTATTATTGTCACCTCTCTTTCCGTTGAACTCGTTTTTATTTGTAAGTTACGGTCGTTCTATCTAGAGTTGATTTGCAAGATAAGACTAATAGCTTCAGAACTTAGGTGCTTAAGATTTGTTGTATAAATGCATCACTTTCAGGTGTTAGGGACACGAAAATTTGAAGTCAATTTTGAATCTCGAGACACGAAAATTTTCCGTAACTCACCCGTTCTGCCTGGAGGTGGCATGAGTTAAACTCAGGAAGCCGATCCGAGTTTCTCGACTAGGGACAAGACTGTGTCTGGTGTTAGGGAAGACGTATACGCATCAAGAAATTGAACCTGTTGTGGCCCTGTTTGGAGGGTAGCCTTAAAACTTTGAAACCTTTGAAAGCCTCAATATATTCCTTATCTTTGTTGGTCCCGAACCGCGGGAACTCTCATTCAGGATAAAGAAATCGTGGTCTCTAGTTCGGATTATTCAACCCAAACTCTCCTGCAGTGTGCCCGAACAGTGGGATTCTCGTTCGGGATAAAGAAATCGTGATCTCTCGTTCGGATTCGACACAAACTCCTTTGAAGTACAACACATTAGGGTTCAACCGAGCCCGGTGGGAGTAAGTTTCCAATTAGGCCCTTTCTTCCCTAGTATGCCCATGCAATTTACCTCTTTTCCTACCTCCTCGGTCTTTGTCTGAGATTTTTCATGCAAAACAGATCCAAGAATTAATGGATACGTAGTTTATTTCTTTCCATATATCGAGCGTAATCAACAACTTTATCCAAACGAAATAAATCAACTATCCCGACGATTACATGATGATCAAACGGTTACAAATCCCGACGAAATGTTTCCGTAACGGAACCGTAGCATTTCTCAAAACATGACATATAAAAAGTTTCAAATCAATTTAAAGACGACGATCACACATTATGCTCCTTTGGGCATTGAAAAGAAAACCAAATTATTTCCCATACAAATAGTGAAACACACCCGTTTAACGTATCTTTCCCAACAAACAACTCCACTAACCAGCCGCATCTAGTGAAAACTGTACCAATTATCAATTGGGATTCATAAATATTAGCACATTACCCGGGCCCTTCACGTAACCAGACTAAACTTCAAGGAGAGACTTTTCATAATAAACCGGATATGATTCGAGCTCGCTTGAAATTCGTAGCTCTCAACATTTGCCCCCCGAACGAACGCCACTTAGACACGCGTGTAATTTACAGACAGGCAAGTCAAACTTACAAAGGCAAATCGATCTTCTCCGACCACCTGAAGATGTCTGAATAAACACGGTCGCCTCCCAAATCCTCCCCAGTGGCACCAGCAGCGACCCTCATGATATCCTCGATCAACGCAAAATTCCCCATTATATCCACGTGGGCCCCACTCTGTGTCCCTCGCCCCTCGAGCAGTGTTGCTGGTGGGGCGTGGTCACACTCCCTCACGTAGGTCTTGATTCCTGAGGGATTGAAACGGGTTTTCCCACGCCACCCTTTCGCGCACATGAAGCCGGCGCTCAAAACTGGCACGGTCTCATCACCGTCGACCGTGAAAACGCCGTCTTTCAGGCACGCGTCCTCGTCTTCTCCTTCGGCGGACGTGTCTATCTGAAACGGAATGTAGCAATCGGCGGCCGGGATCTGTTTGTAGACATAAGCTCTCTCGGTAGGGATCCCGACTCCGTACATGGTGAAAATTTCCATGTCGGGAGCATTGGGTAGCCTGCGGTAAAAAAAAAAAGAAAAAAAAAAGAAAGGTATTTGGTGTCATCAACCACTTTGTTTCCATGGAAGGATAATTTGCAAGATTTTACCCTTGTAGTTAATGGCTATGTTTGGTAAAGCTAACTGATAAGCTATGTTAGATCTTATAAGTGATTTTCGAGCTTAATAAAAGTGTTTGGTAAAATTAGCTGATAAGCTAACTGAAATAAAAATTTCATAAGGTTATTTGAAAAGCTACCCAAACGAAGCTTATTTGAAAAAGTTCGAGCTTTTTAAAAAAGTTCGTCCTACCAAACGAAGCTTATTTGAATACATGAATACAGAAAGCTTATAAGCTAACCAAATAAACTATAAGCGAACTTATTTGGTTACCAAACATAGCCTATAGCTTATTTATTTTCCTTCTAAAATTGAAAAGTATAATGACGAGTTTAGTGGGCTCTGAGCAATAGGAAACTTTAGGTGTTCTCTTATGTTACAAGCACAGTACACTCGCTCTCCAATTTGTGTTGAGAAAGTTCAGGGTAGATTTTAATAAGTTGAGAGCGTTTACTAATGAGGGTATCCAAGGGACGGGAAGAAGTTCAATGATTAAATAAACTATTGAATGCTCATTCTTCTCACCTTGTTTCCAAGGGATTTGACCAATATTTATAATGTTCATACTTGGGGTCGTCCAAATCATCAGCTATCCCATATGAAAAGTGAGCACTACCGCGTTGCATCAGTTTAGGGGCAACGTAATTAAGCAGATCCAAAAGATCTCCAGCAGTATAAGCTTTGTACTCAGCTACTGCTGTTATGCCGCTAATACCCATGTCATGGTACTCTGTCCACACATCACGACAGGTGTTATTTGCAACATTGTTACCTTTCACGGCATCCTGCAAAACAACCGCTTCATCATTACAAGTGAAGCCTAGTAAAGGACTACTCACAGGAATAAGGATGCTAAATAATTTAACTACATGAAGCTTAATAGAACAATTTTAGAGCAATTTTAGCTAAAAACTTAAACACGAGACCTTAGAATGGGTTACGACTCAAGAAACGACGTACGAACGAAACGAAAATGTTGTCTCCTGACTGAAACGTCTAATTACTCAATTCTGGTTGAATACAAAGGAGATTCGAGTTCTCTTCACTTTGGGGCACAAACTTTGCAAATCAATATAAATCGATAGCTTGGATGCAGAGAAAATCCAGTTTTGACATAATCAATTTTTCTATATCCCAACTTGCAACTATGTTGTCGGCTCTCTTATAGGTGCTATCATTATTAAAAGATTCCATATTCAAAATCTAGTACTTTTAAAGTTATTTCTATGCAGTTTCAGTAGGAAGGCCAAGAAGAGGGAGCATACAAATTACCAAAACTGGTGGACTTAGTGAGTTACGATCATTCTGCTATCACAAACAATTGAATGTAGGGAAACTATTAGGCAATCAATAACTGTGAGTAGTATGCAGCATTAAATGAATGATGATGGCGTTATAAATTTCCTAATCTCTGAGCTATGCAAGATTTAAATAGAAACAAATTTATCAACGATTATCATGAAGAAAGTTTGATACCCTAAAATCAATCCGCTGGATCTTAGAAGAATCTGCCTCCGCTGTGTCTTTTCCAAATGATATAATTCTTCCATAATGAACATGTTTTGCTTCAGATTCAATACTCCCATCTTCAGTATGTGCTGAGTTCTCGGTCTTGTTGGTACTTTGCTTTCTTTTAGTTGGAACATAGCCTTCTTCGGGTGAGCAGTCAAGATCGCCCCAAATTGTATCTCCACCTTTCGGAATCATTGACATTGTTGAATCCCATGTCCTAGTCATTTTCATTATGTGCTGTAGTGTTTGGATTCTAAATAAATCCTTATCCAGAACACCCGGAGCCATGGCCCTGTCAAGATAATTCAATTAAAAATGGTCATATTACGATCTATACTTTCATTGAGGCAAATAAATTAATAATAATTAAAATCCAGTATATTATTAAATGCACCTGGCAACGGCAATATCTCTAGCTTCTGCAGAGAAAAGCCCAGAAATAGCTTTCGGAACACCTAGAAAGGGCCCACCAATGTTCATTACAGCCTTAATATGTTTGGCACACCAATCTGGTCCACCCCCTCCACCCATTGGAGCAGGTGCCTCAACCCACTTCATGAAATGCAAAAAGTACAGAACACCCATGGAATGGGGAATAATTACTGCCTTGTTCCCGCCATTGGTAGCAACCAGAAGTTCAATATTACTTTTTATTCTGCTCAGTGTCTGGTCACGCACCTGACAAGATAATATACCATCAGAGCGGAAGAAAAGAAAATAATTATCTTATAAACAAACCCCATATGAACAAAGGATCAATTTATTTTTTGAACATGTACCTCTGTGTTCTGGAATGAAAGCCTCCAATCATATGCAGCCATGTACATGTTTTTCTCTTCATATCCAATCCTTGCAAGATTAGCGATTAGAACTGCCCAGACAAAATATCCTGGAGCGAAGTAATCTGCAGCGACAAGACCAGTGACGGGCCTAACTCTTACACCAGAAGGATCCAAGCCAGTTTCGTTATCCAGTGACATATGATCCACCCAACATAGAGGTCTGCAAGAAATTTTAAGAGGACAACCTCATACACAAGATGCAAGAAAAAAACTTCTCTGCAGGTTTTGTTATATATGGAGTTTAACATAGTATGAAGCACAGATAATATAGTTAAAACTGACAGCATAACAAACTCTCAACACTAACAAAATCCATGGGTCAGGAGCAGATTAAATATGAAGCACTATGGAACATCTTAGTAATACATGCCCCGGAAATATCCACGCTGAGTAAAGTTATCAAGAANNNNAAAAACTATTATGGTTATCATGATCCTTATTCCAGATAATGATTTTTTATAATACTTGGGGTATAAGAAGGAATAGTTTAACTATCACTCCCTCGTTACCTCAGTAGCTTGAATAGCCAGGCATTCTTCATTAGGGGCTCCCTGTTTGCTTTCGCTTAGACTTATCTTATAAGCTTGCTAGGATAATTCATAAAACCTTGTTATCCTTCTAATGAACAAGCTTTCTCTGACTAAGTTAAATCGCCTCTTACACAAGTGGGTAACTAACCTTCTAACCCATACCCAGTTATCTTCTGAGCCAGCTTAACCCATCAGTGGTAACTTTAAAGTTAATTCTAAGCCTACCTCTATGAATCTATTCTATTAGCAGTTAATCAAAGGTAAAAAATAGAACAAGTAGAAAGATTGTCATCTTTCACATATGCACTATAATGAAAATTACGATGTAATTGATAGATCATATATCATCTACACCTCAATAAAACTGTGCTAATATGAAATATATTCCATACATTCCGGATGTCATTTCTAGAACTGTATGATCTCCCCTAGCCATGAACTAGTTCAGCATAAAAATCACTATCATATCCCATTTTCATGATGTGGAGAGGTTGGACAGGTGGTATGGCTTTATCATAGATTGGTTAAATATGTAGCAAGCTAAAAAAAAAATAGTCATTTTTGTCCCTAATGCAAATCCAAATCAAAATATCCCAATCTTCTTCAATTGACAGCCTCTTATCCCCAATTGACCAAACACACCTATAAGTCTATAACTAGAACAAGCTCTAATTTAGGGAGTGATTGTTTCATGATACTAAAGAGTAAACATTCAAGAGATCGCATATTTTCATCAGTCAAGTAATTTGATTATTCTATCATGGGAAACCAAATTGCCAAGGCTTGAATCCAGATACTGTCAATCCAGCGCTCTACTGACAGCATCATAAAGTGTGAATGAAATCTTACACTTCATTAATCATTATTCCACAAAGCCCATTAACCTTTAATAACCTCACCACTTCAATTAATTTTTGACCAAATAAAGGAGAAAAAATCTCATACGTAATCATCTGAACCAACAAACAAACTGAGCTCACCAAACAAACAAATTAATATGTTTATTTCCTTTTCCNCTTGTAAACTTCGCCAAACGTGCCTCCCCAAAGCCTCTTTCTGAAAAGGCCCTCGGCACACTGATGCCCCTCCCACAGCTCGAGCCCTCCGGTCACAATCCCGGGCACGAAAACCACCGGATGCTTAGCCTCCAAGCCCTCTTTCTTCAGTTTCACCCCCGGCGGATCCGGCATCGGCCCAGTTATCACCTCCGTCACGTACTGCGGGAAGCTAGAAGGCATCATGTTGTACATGAACAAAAGCCCCCACCACACGACGCATATGCACCCGATTAACCAGCAGCAGCTGTCCACGCAGGACCACTTGCCGTTCTTCTCCGCCCTACACGTCTCTGGTTTTTTCTCCTCTGGATCCGACGCCGGGGTCGCCTCCTTCTCTGCGGCCTTCCTCCGCCTCAACAGCGACGACATGCCGATCGATACCCACTCGAATTCGCCGGCGCAGCCCGATTAAAAGATCGGGAATGGATCTCAACGGCGAATTCACGAATCAAATGCGACCGACAAGGGGAAAAAGGTGGACAAGTGTCAAGCGCGCACCTTAGCTGTCCCCTGCTTCTTGAGCGTATGTATGTACGCGTTTCCTTTTTTATCGTGAAGCTTCGGACGGAGGGTATGGAGAAGGAGACGGCGGCGGTGCTGCGGAGATTGGTGGGGCCCGGGAAGGGGAATGGTAGCAAAATGTGATAAATATTGTGGATGACGACTTGGCTGAGTTTAACGGTTGAGAAGTAATAAATGGTGGCCGTTCACGTTTTGCGAGCAAAAATTTTCTCGCTTTTTCTAATCCAGTGATTGGTCGGGTCGACAATCGGGTTGGGAAATCGGATCCTCTAGAGTTGGGACTTCACACCCATAATAGTGAAATCGAATGGAATCGAACAAAAAAATAACCCATTGTGGTATGATTATTAAAATAAATAGTTTTTTTCTTATCTCCAAAAATCCGTAATGGTTTCCGGTTCCAATTCCAAATATATGTGTTTAACGACCAACCGGTTATATATATACAGAATGCATGATTTGTTGGAAATCCAGTTCGAAATTGAGTCCTCTAGGATTGGATTTTTATATTCAACCGTGAAATCGAAACAAATTTTGAAATACATAAACTTATATAATGAGGAGCAACAAAACATTTAATTATATTATCATGTATTAAATTTTATTCTCCCTCTAAAATTTTCAGCATTCAATTTCATTTTTAGGTTACAAAATAACGCTTGAATACCATAAATTATGAGCATAAACCAATCAAGGGAGTTACAAAATTATACTCAAATTAAGTCACCCACTCATGAAAATAGCCGGGTGTATTAGCATAAAGAAAATGGTTGTAACGGTTCTTCCATAGCAATTACTTGATCAAAATCAATTTTGAGAATTATTTTCTTAATTCATATTTTTTTTCATGAATTAAATTGTAATTTTTTTTATATTGTTATCTTTTTAAAGTATTTTTCTATGTGCAAATGCACAAGTTGATTACTAGTTTACTATATGTCTAATTTAAAATTGACTTTTCGGTCGAGTACAATGAAAAGCGTATGGTAAAAGCTGACAACTTGAGACTTGACAAACCGATAATGCCAATCTCCGACACTGGTGAGAAGGAATCGGGCAATGAAAAAAATATTGAGCACCAATAAATAATAAGCTTATTAACTTGGAGTGAGCCAAAGAGAAGTGGGGATTATTGAAAAATCAATAAGATGAAAAAAGTTTCGAAATCAAAGGTCGGCAAGAGTGCAAAGGAGTAGTAAAAAGGTACAACATTGCACTAAAGAAAGATATCAATTTGATGAGACATCCTTGCACGTAAGATGGCCGGACAATGAACGAGCAAAAATCGGTGTTGAGGGGGAGTGTTAAAATATCAATACCTCCTTCATAACCTTGTAGTTTGAAAATATTGGAGAGCGTCTAGGAACTTTGTGGAAAGTTTCGAAAGTATCTAGCACAACCCAGAAAAATATTACGGAAGAGACTAGATGAATGAAGAACTTTGTAGAAGGATGTGGAATATTCTAGAGCCCGAGAGAAGCTTGAAGAGTTGTGTGGAAGCTACTAAATATTGTAGAAGTTACATGTTATAAAATCATGTGGACAAGTATTGAATATTTCAATTTTTAAGGTAGTTGTAGTACTCAGTGAAATAGTACAAGTTGATTGTAAAATAGTCTAGGGTAAAAATATTAAGGAAGCATCACCAACAGCTTCTGCGGAGCAAAAAATCCAACAAAGATGTGAGAGTTAAGTCGAGTAGGTATAAATTGGAGAGGTCCCAATCCAAGTAAAAGAGTGAGCGAGTCTAGTAAAATATTTATAGGTTCATATGTGTAATTATTGAAAGAAACTCATAAGAAATAAAATTTAAGACCTACTCTTTAGCTGTTAGTCTAAGAAGTAAATGATTGTTGTAAAGAGATTTTACATGTGCAAGTTTTTGTTCATATGGTATATTTGTAACCCTTATGCGATTGTAGTTTTATATTATAATATTTGATGTTTGGTTAAAAAAACTGTAAAGAGATTTTAAATGATGACAAATTTTATTTAAGCCTAATAGTTTAGAGCGGTTAGTGGTAAGCCTAATAGTTTAGATGTGATAATAGGATGACGAATACTATCAGTTAGTGTACCATAAATTTTTGAGCTACTTTATAGATCATCAACGAATTTTTCATATGTGGTCTTAGTTCTTGTGTGTACGTACAATAAATTTTTCAGCATCATCAACGAATTTTTTATATATGGTACTTTATCGATCATCTTAGTTCTTGTGTGTAAAATAGTAAAAGAATGATCATCGTATAGATCATCAACGAATTTTTTATATATGGTACTTTATCGATCATCTTAGTTCTTGTGTGTAAAATAGTAAAAGAATGATCATCGTACTTCATAGATCATTTTAATTCAAAAGACCATGAAAAAGACACGAACATCTTAATTCTTGTGTTTAAAATAGTAAAAGACGATCATATGTGATACTTCATAAATATCTTAATTTTTAAAATAGTAAAACACGATCAACTTAGTTCGTGTGTTTAAAATATTAAAAGACGTATTTGAATTACTTTCATGATAAGGAAAATGTGAGAAGGTGAAGTCGATCATCTTAGTTCTTGTGTTTATGTATTCAACCACTTTCAATCGAAAAGCAACGTTGAGAAGACATTCGAAAAGGAACGTTGAGAAGGTGAAGTATGATCGTGGATACTTAGGTGGAAATGAGCGGTAATGAAATCTCATTTTGTAAAACTTAGAACCAAGTGTGACATTGATGTTGTATGAATTTTCTTTGAGCCTACGTTTGAATTGAATGATTTATTGAGGAATTTGAAATCTATAAATTTTAAATTTACAAGTTCAAATCCCCATGCATGTTGGAATGATAATGAGAAGTTGGAGGATTTCAAATTTATGTTATATATTTTTTAATAATTATTTTTGAAGGATTTTAAATGGCTCATCAAACTTAGTTATTTGAAATCCACCGGTTATCACCATTGACGACCACACCGTCGGTGATTATTTAGGTTCATCACCATCGCGAGTCAACACCATTGGTGCGAGCTAGACAATTGATTTATAATATTTTCAACACAAAGACTGTGCAAGGAAAAAAATAATATTTCAAAAGTTTTGAAATTAAGGGATTTCAAAATCTCTCAAAACAAATGTAGCCTGAGAGTTGCATGATTTCTCCTAATTCTGCTTTGACGGTTTTGAATGGATACTCTGATAGTTGCCCGATTTCTCCTAATTTTGTATGTCGAGAGGTTTGGTCTATGTTGTGTTTTTTATTCATTGCCTTTTTGGGGGGATTAATGTTTCTGGAGTCTTGGCTGCTTGGGTGAGTGATTAATTGTGTGAAGCAAGGTTTGCGATTTCTCACTCGCGAGGAAACCTTTGATGCGATGGAGGAAGTACTGCGACTGAGGAGGATTATGTGTTTTTTATTGTTTTTTAATTCGTATATACAAGTGGAGAACAGATCAAGTGTGTTGTATATATCAGTTGATTATGAATAAAGATTATAGATTTGACTCAAAGCCATGTAGTGTATAACGTTACTGTACACGATTAAAGCCATGTAGTTAGAGAAGTGGATATTCTCAGTACAGTACATTCATCAAGAGTTTACCAACTTAAGAGTTTGAGTGATATAAAATAGTGGAATTCTCTTATGAGTTTGAGTGAATTACAACTTACAAGATGAAAACTGCAAATGCTAACCATAAAAGCCACATTAGCTATGTGCCTTCAAAATGTAGTTTCTGGTCTGATCTGAACAGCAAAGAGCAAACATACCTGCATAGAAGCTGACCAATGTACTTACACAAAACACCCAGTTCAAAATCAGCCCACCCTCATTTTTACGAGCATTCGTCTTCCCAATCACAGCCGAAAAAACCCCTTGTTCTTCGCATCCATCTTTCGTCTCCACACACAAACCGTGATTACCCGCAAATGCTCCTGGGAATCTCGAGTAGCCCTGCCGAGCCATCACAACCCCAGATAAACAATTATACGACATATTCAAGACTGATAAATTTGCAAGACTCGATATGTTTTCTCTAACGGGACCTGCAAACGAATTGTGCGAAAGGTCCAAGACTTTCAAGCTCAACATCTTCCCCAAACCTACCGGAATTTGCCCGTCGAGAAAATTATACGAGAGGTTTAAGTAGTCGAGACCCTGCAACCCGAAAATCCCGCCAGGAATTTCTCCATGCAGCGAGTTATCCGAAATGTCGATTCCTACTACAGGTGGAAAGTCGTACGTGAAGATCAAATTCAACACGTTCTTATCACCTACTGTGACTGAAATCCGAACGTCAAGATTAGTGAACGAAACCGATGATTCCCGTTGTTTGAAATCGACGAGGTTGAAACTCGAGCTAGTGTTGAAATTAGTACCGTTCGGTAAATATCCAGAAAACCCGTTTCCAGATAGGTCCATTATTTGGATATCCTGGAAAGCAAACAACCAACTAGGAAGGGATCCATTGAACATGTTGTGTGATAGAGAGAGGAATCTGAGCTTCGACCATTTGGTCACGGCATCATTCAAAGCACCCGACAGATAGTTAAAGCTCAAATCCACGACCTCTAACGACTTGCACCCTGCCAATGTTACAGGAATCTCCCCGAAAATGTGATTGTTGCTTAGAGACAATATCTTCAAACTATCTAACGCGTCGAGTTCTGGTGGAATTTCGCCCGAAAGATTGTTGTGATTCAACTTCAACGCCAGTAACTGAAAACAACCCACGATATTCAAAGGAATCGAGCCCGATAACAAATTGTGAGACAAATCTATGACTTGAAGATATGTTAAGTTTCCAATTCTATCAGGAATCTCGCCCATTAGGCGATTATGGGAAAGAAACAAAGCCTGCAAGTTTTTCAACTCGGTAATGGCTGGCGGGATTCCGCCAGTGAACTGATTGTTGGACAAATCGAAGATTAAAAGGCTCGATTTTTCAGGGGTCCCGATAATATTCTGGGGAAGATTGCCCGACAGACTATTGAAACTCAAGTCCAGGACAATTAATTTGTCTGAAAAAACTAATCTTGGAGAAATCCCGTATTGCAAGTCATTGAATGACAAGTTGAGTTGCCTGAGGCCGTGACAGCTGGCAATGCAGGCTGGTACACCGCCCTCGATCGAGTTGCAGGCCAAGTTAAGCACCGAGAGAGATTGAGACGAGGTTAAAAAACAGGGTAAAGTACCAGATAGCAAGTTGAACTCCAAATCAAGATAAACTAATGCCCCATGAAATTCACCGAGATTTCCTGTTAAGTAATTGTGCGACAAATCTAAGTATTGCAAAGACATTGAGTCATACAAGCTATCGGGAATCTCGCCATGTAAATTATTGGACTCGAGATTAAGTTTTTCGAGTCTCGAAGAGAAATTACCAACCCAAGCCGGGATTTCACCGCCGAACGCGTTGTGGCTAAGGTCGAGCACTGCCACCTGGCTGAGTATTGCTAGCGCTTGCGGGATGGAGCCATTGAAGGCATTGTGACTAAGATCCAAGATTTTGAGGTTTGGCAAGCAAGTGGGAACCGAGCCAAAGAATGCATTGTTTGACAAAACGAGAGTTTCGAGAGAAGTGAGGTTGCAGAGAGAGGAATGGAGCTGACCGGAAAGGCTGAGTCCGGTGAGGTTAAGGGACGTGAGCCGGCCGGTTTGGTTGGAGATGGTGACGCCGATCCAGCTGGCGGAGCCATTCTCGTTAGTCCAGCTGGACAGATGGTGAAAAGGGTCTTGCAAATGAGACTTAAACTCCAGGATTGCAGCTTTGTTACTTGGGTAGATGCTAGTGAAGCCACTACTACTTTTCACATTGTGATACTTTACTGAAGAAGCGGCAAATGCAAGAGGAACATGGACTGTTATAGCGGATAACAAAGAAAACAACCCAATAAAACATATGATAAGCTCCTCAGTGATTGCAAAACCCGGTTTTCTTTGTTTCAGTTTCATGGAAGCCAACTCTTCAACCTGCACATTCATTGATGTAAATAAATGCAAGATTAATGAGAGCTAGCATTCAAAAATTTCAATGTAGGTGCATAAATAAAACTACAATCAATTTTTTTTTTTTGGGTTCATTTTCAGAATGAATTTCTCTCTTTCCGTACACGAGTGAACGTGAAAACGTGATTTTTTTTTTCTTTTTCAGGATTCACTCAATTTTCTGCCCAATTTGACTGAAAATAGGAAAATCCAGGCAAGCCTGACTTTAAAAACCAGTTAATTTAAAAAATTACAGGATCAAATTCAGATAATTAAACTTTAGTATAAATAGTTTTGAAACACACTAAAGACTGCCTTTTGAAAATAATAAATAAATAAGTTGATGAAGACTTCAACGAATTTATTGCAGAGTTCGTCATAACATTTTCTATTTTATTTTTCTCAATATTTTTTGAACTCAAGACAAATTGTACAGACCAATCACAGTCATCCATCACCAACGGAACAAATATGAGTATTATTTTTTTAAAAAAAAAAATCAAAAAGTCATTAACTTTTTATCCGAACACAATCATTGAAGGCTTGAAGCCAAAGTGAAAGGCTGGAAAAGCAAGATGAAAATCACATAAATGAAGTACAACACCTTATCCGCAAGGTACTCTGGCGACCCGGCTCCCACACACCGAGTGTAACATCCGTTCTTCAGATTCCGGTCAGCTTGGAACTGGAGACCGGCTTCGACGGCACGGAAAACAGCTTATTTTTCCGACCGGCTCTTTGTGTATTTTCTCCGGCTCTTTTTTCACTTTGGGATTTGGTCCATTTCTCTGTGTGTGATAGTCAGAGAGGGAATGTGTGTGTGTGAGAGAGAGAGAGTGCGGGGAAATATGCCATGCCAAAGCACAGGTTTCTATGCTGCTGGTTGGAATAGTGGTGGGCGAATTTGGAGCGTTGGATTGGAATATATCGATGGCTGTGAACCAATGAAAGTTTGTTTTTACAAAAGTGGGGGACATAATTCTTTTAATTTTTTATTTTATTCAAAAGCAGGTGATTCTTGGACCAGGGGTGTTCATCGACCGAACCGAATTACCAAATTAAATTTCATAAACCGAACCGACCGAATAAGTACCTAAAACTGGATCGAATTGTTCGGTCGGTTAACTGAATTTTTACCAAAAAATAATTTTTTTAGGATTGTTTATTCTTTATTGGGTCAAACTTCTGCTATTCTCCCAAAATTTTTCTCATTTATTTTTTTTTTCTTCTGAAGCTTCAAACTTAACATATATATCTTTGCTGAAAATTTTGAATTGAGAAGAAGTAAAATTGAAACAATATGAGCTATTTATAACTCATGCTATAGACAAGTATGTGACAGATTTTGAAATAAGGAAACAATTAATCAAAGGAAAAATGAACTCCAGGTAGAGAGGTGGAGTCTAAGTGAGAAGTGAGATTAACCACAATAGGCTCATAATCAGTATTCAGCACCCCAAACCACCAAGAATCTACATAGCTAATTCTTCATCAGTGATACAATTACCAACGAATTGCAGTTGATCAGCAATAGATCGCATCTTCAACATATAATCATCAAGGACGGATCGATGACCAAATGAAGATTCCTCTTCAACTTACTGAAATAGACGAATCCACGACCTGCAAAAAGGAGTTCTTGAGTCTTGACCGACGACAAGGAGTCGTAGACGCAGCACCGAGTCGCAGAGGCACCACGCACGCAGCTACTTGAACCAGAGAAGACGATTTGGGGGATGATTTGGATTGGGACGATTCAGGGCGGAGGAGCGGCGGCGGCAGCGGATTTGGGGAAGAGACGAGGGAGAGGAATGAGGACGACGAGTGTGTGTTCTGAACTGATTTCTTCTGTATGTTTAGAATTAGGGTTGGGTTGAAATATTATATTTTATTTATAATATAATATATATATTAATATTATATAATATATAAATATATATATATATATATTAATTGGTCGGTTCGGTTATTTCGGACATTTTAAGTCCGAAAACCGTAACCGACCGAAATAACCGAATAATGAAATGCTGGAAACCGAAAACCGACCGAGTCGGACAAAAACCGAACCAAAATTTTCGGTTCGGTCGATTTTAGTCGAATTATGCACACCCCTACTCATACACGTGCAATTAGCACACCAAAATGCAGCACCTATCAAGTATTACTTGAAAAACAATAATAAATACTAAAAACAAAGGTTCAAAAGAACATGAATATCGGGAATTTTCCAGATGAAGTTAATGCTTTGTGGACCTATATCAATGGAAGACATGCATCAAAACCTACTCAATGCAATCTAACTTCGACAGTAGGTGAACAAATTAATGAGTGCTAAACAGTGGAATAATAATAATTCAACTAATCAACATGGGAAATCATTTTTCATCTAAATGCCACAGTTTCTAAGAGACCCAGACCAGAGCTAGAGATATCAACAGATAGTGCTCAAATAAGAACCCAGAAAAGAAGCATCGTAAAAAGTATCCAAAAAAATAAAAAGAAAAATTCAAATCGGGAAATAGCTAAAAATAACAACCTGATTTCAAGATCCTGCTGCACACAAACAAGAAATCAATAAAAATATCAAGCTGGCATATCACACCGCACGCATCAGATTTTCATAGAACGAAAACAACAACATTTTAGCACAAATCAATACGGAAATTGTCCACAGACGAATTCAACACTACAAAACTACAAATCGAGGTGCAATTAGGGCATATAAGACGCTGACACAAGGTGAAAGAGCAGAAGAGGCGATGAATTTAGATCGAATCTCGAAATCGAAAAGAGAAAACGCTAGATTGATTTGCAGAACAACTCCTCGGATCTGCGCTGTTGAGCTGGAGAACGATGACTGGGAGTTGGGCTATAGCGCGTCCGCGGAATTTTATGGGTAGGGCTAAATCTGAATCGAGCATCTGGGCTTCAAGATTTATTTATTGACTACTTTAATTGAGCCAATGACGTTTTATCTTTTTCATGAAATTAGAAGGCCCATTTGAGAAACACGAGAAAACAATATTAAAGTTGTATTACAAATTAAATATATAATTAATATTGATTATGGTTTAATATGTATTATTTACAACTAAAATATGTTAAATATATTATCATTTTGTCCATATAAATATTAATTAATAAAATATTATTGAATATCTTCGCATAAAAATATTCTTGATTTGATTATTTAAATTACATTATGGTACGTAAAGACACTCGATCTACGGTTCAACCTGATATGGCTTCCTTGTTGGTGGATGACCTTTGTGACCTGCAAAAACTCGACATCGAAAGATTTTCCGATGAAGAGTCTCTAATGCTTAAGTTAGAGATGTAAAAGACGATGATGGATATTATGTAAGTATGTAGAGAGTGTGTAAGTATGCCCCAGACTGTCTGAGTAAGTTGGTCGGACTGCTCGAACAACCCGTCCGTACTGCTCATTTTTGTTAGGCCATGAGGCCCTATCCGCGTGCGATCTTTATTCTCTTCATATTCCTTCTTATCCATTAGGTTGCCTTATTAGACTGTATAATTGTGCGATTGGCCTATCCGAACTGGTTTATCGAGTTTGTTCTACTTGGTGTGGTATCATATATCTTCTGGTCCCCCCACTCTGGTTGAGTTAAGATAACTCGATCTAAAAGTAGATTCTGTATTTGACTTTGGTTGGTGAATTTCAACTCTTGTTTTTTGACTTGGCTGCTCGCACCATCTTCAATTCTGCAACATTATTTTCGACCTCCCCTTGTGATCTTGAGTTCAAATTTCAAAATTCAAATATTTGCTTCTTGTCAGATTCAATCAGTCGCAACGTCTGGTCAACGTCATCACTTCTTAATTCGCGCTAGCGAAGTACAACGTATCCATTAAATGCTCCTTTAATGAGAACCCTTAGATCTACCTTTAATCTGACGGTTGGGAACTGCTATCTTTTCAACTTGCCTGCTTAATCTCAGCCATTGATTTCGGCCATGATCTAACGGCTCCATGCGACCTGTCCTTTCAACTTCGCCCCTTTTGATCTTGACCATCGAATTCTACCACGATCTAACAGCTCCGCTCGGCCAGCCTTTTCAACTTGCTCGTTCCATCTTGACCGTCGATTTCGACCTTGATCCAACAATTAAGGTCGATTGACCTGCACGCCCTTTCACCTAATAATTAATCGATAGTTGTCAATCTAATAAAAATAAATAATTAATTATCCAAATTCTAAAATTACATATAAAGTTTAAAAAATATAGTTTGACATCTGAATGAGATAACATACCTAAAGAAGTAAACCAGCCGAATAAGCCGGCTTGGCGAACCAATCGAATAAATTGGTCGAATCGCGCCGGTCGAAGTAAATACAGAAAAAGTGGTCGTGGTCGAGCATCACGAGAGTAAGGGCTCGTGGAGTGGAAGACAGCCTAGAGAGGGATTTCGGTGCATGGAGAACAAGTCCGTCCTAGACTCATGGAGGGTCTGGTTGTAGATTGACCTGTGGTGCAACTAGTCTTCGGATCGACCACTTCCTAGACTTGGAGCAGTCGACGGATTGACCTAGACTTGGTCGAACACTAGAGCCTTCGAGGAGATCTCAAAGGAATCAAACCCCCATGTGCGGAGGACACGTGGCGCGACCCGATTAGTCCATACTGAAGAACCGTCTCTGACATTCACACATTGTGTGTTGTACAAACGGGCAGGCCGAGCAATTTTGGGCAGCCAACTCAGCTTATTCGGGTAGCCATCTAGAAACATATACCTTACTCCTATATATAGGGGTAGACTTTACGATTTGAGCACGATTTATCCATTTTTACTTTTGAGAATTGAGTAGAGTTTGAGACTGAATTAAACATTGAAGGCTCTTCACCGAAAAACTCCTCCGGTGTAAGAATTCTTTGCAGGTACTTGGCGTTCTACTGGCGAGGCGGAGTTCGAGCGAGCCGTTTCCAGCCGGTCGGAGATTTTGACGTACCAACACCTAATTTTTAAAATTATATGCATTATGATTTAAAAAATATATTTGACAAATTAAAAACTTTAATATATTTTATATATGCTTCTTAATTCACCCGTGTAATAAACGGGTATTGTACTGATAAATAATAATAATAAATAGTAACACGAATAAACGTTAAACCAACAAGGAGACAACATGACATTGAAAGTTAAAAACATTACATACCACAGCATTGTTCAACCAGCCAAGATTATATACAGACAATACAACACACACATACAAGCACATCGGTGGAGGAGATACACGTGTTTCGTCGAGCCCCTCCCCATTATTTGCAACTGTCTTTTCAAGTATCTAAAACCATAAACATGAAATGAAGCAGAGTTGTAATGTTCTTCCCGTTTCACGACAGACAAGTGAAACAAGCACTTATTATTTAATACTTAATGCAGAATGCAGGGATGAAACAGTTAAGTTCCAAGATAGCCACCACAAAACTTGGGCTATTGTACCTTCAAAGAGCTGGTGTATTAATGAATTTTTGAACTACAAAAGAAACAACTTTTATTGTTTCTTCATGTGCCTCTTACAGAAAGCTTTCATTCTTTCTAGGCCATCATCGAGGGATGATGGCTCGCTGGCAAATGTCACTCGGACCCAATTCTTTAACCCTACAGCAATCCCTGCGAATGAAAAGAATTCGTCTTGCTTTAGAAGTTATTACAATTACCAAATCAAAACTACTCGTCGCTTGTCCTAAACCAAGCTTTTTGCACAAAACTGCCAAGAAAAGACTATTTGGGCATTAACGAAATTAGGCTAGACCTCAGGGGTAATACTTGGTAAATTATTCATTTTTTTTTTACCTGGGAGAACTAACACAGATTCCTCCTTGGCTAGCTTGCAGCAAAAGTCCATATCATCCTTAATATCTTCTAAGAGGGGCAGGTTAAGCTTTATCTGAAAATGTAAAAACTCAGGGCAAATCACACCAACAAAATCTTTCCTGTTATAATAAATAAATGAAAGTTTATCAGTGTCTATTTACCATAACAAACATAGATCCCTCGGGTTTGCTGGGGCAAGTTATGCAGGGGATTTCTTTGATCTGGTTGTAGCATATATCTGCGCATTCTCTTAGTACATTAATTATTTTCAGATGATACTCACTCGGGGTATTCTCAAGGATGTGTGGGATTGCCCCCTGTTCAACATAACAAAAAGTATGTGATAAATGATTACAAGAAAATAATATATAAGAAACATGAAGTGTTTCTTTCTTTGTGTCCAATTCAGTGATGCAGAACATTAAGTTTTAGTCAGCGCGAGTATTCCCATTATATTAAAAGTCAGCTTCTAAGACAAGAGGTTTGACTAGACAAACTTATAGTTACCCACAGATTTCACAAAGAAAACTCCTAGTATGTGCACTTAAGGTACTGTGATATTTTGAAAGCTAGTAATGGAAAAAGCGAAGAAAAATTAAAGAAAAATAAAAAAGAAAATAGAAGGAACCTGAATAAATGTAGCCGGGTCAGAGGTAATATTCAAATAGCCCTTGATGCTATCCGCAATCTGCAGATATGATATGATCAACTTTAGTCGATTTCTTGTGAAATGTCAAAAATTTCGTAATCTTTTTCATATAAATGAGATGTTCGATGCAAATATAACACATCGAAAGCAAAATAGCCATCAAAATTCAAATATGGTTATAAAAAGCATACAAATTTTGAGATTTCCCTAAAGAGAAGGCACATTTTACCACATAAATGAGTGCAGAGCCATAAAAGAAATGAGAAAGACTGAATCTTGAGATTCTATCAAAAGTCAAACGTTCTAGCCGTTCGGTGGAAGTGTTTTCATAATAAACTCTAGGAAAGCATAACTGGCAAGTTGAATTTTCTATGCGGATCACTTAAAAAGTCGATTTGTCTGCCTAAAAAAAAGTCATTCTGCCATTAGTTTTTTGGATTCTGTAAAAGCATAAATACCCCATCATGCTTAGCCTACAAATTATAAGT